ATAGATGGGTAAGCGTGCAAGTCAGCACAGGAGGCGGAAAATGGAGAAATGCGATATTTGCAGATGGAGGAGACAATCCGGAGAAATATGTGTGAACACTAACTAGTCTATATCATATAATGGAGATTGTGTGGGAACTGGCAACAGGTATATCGAGTATTATGAATCAGGATAGATAAATGGGGGAAGAGGGTACATCGGCATCTCGACGTGGTCGGGATTGTCAGCTGAGAGGGACATGACATAGAGGTTCAGTAGGTGATCAGATGGTGCAAAAATGCTTCTCGGAGTGGGTACAGTGGTAGCGAAAACATCGGAGAAGATGAGATTGTAGTCACAAAAACATTTATTAACATAGCGAGTGCAAAGTTGTCAAAGGTGTAATAGATTCTGAGGAAAGCTGATAGGCGATAAAGGTCGGAAGTGGGACTAAGGAATTTGACGCCAAAGGCGAGCCGGAGGGCATGGCGCTCCAAAACCTGTAGACGAGAGTAGAAGGTCAGAGAAGGGCAAAGGTTTTACTGAAAACACTAGTGAGGCTGATAGGACAATAAGAATTAACATCAAAGGCAGGTTTACCCGGTTTCAGAAAAAGCAGGATAGTGGATAACTTCCAGGAATCAGGAAAAAATCTCGAGGAAAGAAGAAAGGTGTAGAACAATGCAAGAAGTCGAAAGAATTGCAGACGGGCAGTACGGAATTGGCAATATGTGATGCCATCAAGACCAGGGGCAGTGTTACGTCTGTTCTTCAGCACCCACTGGACATCAGCTGCAGTAATGGGGGCATGTAAGAAATCATTGTCAACAACATAAGAAGAACTAGGAGTAAGGTCAACGAGGGAGACAACGGTTGAGTTAACGGTGGTTGTAGCGTCACTGTAATCAAGAATATGACGTTCAGGTACTTGAAAGTTCTGTTCATGAAAATCAGCAAAAAGATTGGCCTTGTCCAAAGATGTAGAAGGTGCAGCACCATCAACAAGTATAGGATAGGAGGGAGAACATCGTTGACCTGTGAGGAGCTTAAAACGGTTCCAGAATTGCGAGGAAGAAGAGAAATGACCGAGTTTGTTACAGGCCTGATGCCACCGCTGACTTCGGACTGCTCGATCATTAAAAGCTTGGAATGATCTATTAAAGGTTTAATACTGAGCATGGCCGAATACTTGTATTAAAGGTTTAATACTGAGCATGGCTGAATACTTGGCGGACCGGAATCTGAATCTGAGAGTCCATGGTTTGTTGCTTTCTGCATTTTGAGAGTATTGATGCATCATTATACATCTAACCGTAAAATTCCACTATTCAATCAGAATAGCCCAAGAGGTGGCGGTAGGTAGTGTTGACTAGCAGGATTTCCTCCAGTCTATAAGTTCAAAATAGTGGACGGCTATTGTAGTTAGCCCTTTGTGTAGCTTTCCGAAAATATCTTAAACAAATCAAACCAAACTCAGAGCTTTAAACTTAGTAATTCTAAACCTAAACTACGAGAAAAAGAAATGCAAAAAAGACTGCCATATTATAAGAGTATTCGTCTCCAGAAAAAAATCGTTGACAAACATATTCCGAAAAACTTTGCAAACAATTTTTCATTTCAACAATAACATGTCCTTCTCTTGTTGAAAGCGGAAAATACAATTGAATTTTGTTTGTTTGTTTTTGAATTTCGCGCAAAGCTACACGAGGGATATCTGCGCTAGCCGTCCCTAATTTAGCAGTGTAAGACTAGAGGAAAGGCAGCTAGTCATCACTACCCACCGCCAACTCTTGGGCTACTCTTTTACCAACGAATAGTGGGATTGACCGTCACATTATAACGCCCCCACGGCTAAAAGGGCGAGCAGATTGCGAGTCGAGCGCCTTATCCACCTGGCCATGCCGGGCACACAATTGAACTTCTCAGTTTTTGAACAAATAGTGCGTTATGAATAAACAAGGTGTATTGGCGTGTCCCTTTTTATTGGTTCACGAATAATTCTGTTCTTAGAATTACTGAACTGACATGTGTAATTGTGGCTTAATTCATTCCAACAAATGAAGGGGGGGGGACGAAGGAAACCAATAAATATATATGTAATTATGTCAAACGTATAAAACATTTATCTTGTACTTATGTACAAGTCCAAGCGTAAAAACATAATAAAAGTATTATTTTCAAAATAATTAAATGATTTCGCATTTCTTTCTTTATTACATCTTACATTAAATGCATCAGTTTTCAATTGTCAGACATTGCTTTATGACGTAACACAATTTAATTTTTTAGTTCAATCGTGGTTCCCAAACTCTTTTATTATGAGGCTCCCTTAATCTGAGTAAAAAAAAATTGAGCCCCCCCCAACCCATAACTTTAGCATGGTTATTGAAAAACAGTGCCGTAATAAAGACAGTAACATCTACTTTCGACATACTGTATCATTTAATTAATTCAACATAATTTTTATCGACTTACTGTTTACTTAGAATTAAAATTAATTCAGCATCTTTGTTTTCGGCCAATTTTTTGACGACCCTCAAAAAAAGCTTCACGGCCCTCAGGGGGACCGCGACTCCCACTTTGGAAAACACTGTTTTAGAACATATATTCTTATTCCAATGCCCCCAGTGGCACAGCGATATGTATGCGGACTTACAACGCTAGAATCCGGGTTTTGATACCCGTGGTGGGCAGAGCACAGATAGCCGATTGTGTAGCTTTGTGCTTAATTAAAAACCAAAAATAAAAACAACTTATAAATTCGACAAGCGAGCAAAGAATCACATAAGCAATGGGAAAAATACTAGAAAAAGTAACAGGAAAAAAAT